CCATCCATCCATCCACCATCCATCTACCATCCCATGCACCCATCCACCTCTTATTCTATCCATCCACTCGATTACACCCACCCGTGTACCATTTCATGCATGCGCCATTTCATTATTCATCCAACCAGTCTTCCTTCCTTCCTTCCACCCATCCATCCATCCATCATTCCATCCAGCTAAGCAACCATCCCTCTACCCAACAAGTATTTACCAAGGGCTTTCTCTGAGCCAGAACTGTGGCAGGGCCAACAATGTGGCTGAAGTCTGATGCAGAAGGTGACAATAAACAGTTAGGAGGGTCAGCAGGTTCTCTGTGGCTTAGCCCTGTTAGAACCGCACGGTTTTCCTCCTCGTCACAAAGGACATACTGATTGATACAACATGCCCATGAGGCAGAGAGAGAGAGGGAGGGTGAGAGATGGAGGGAGAGGCTCTAGGTAGTGGCACAGACATGGGGATAGGCCTGTGTGACCGGGGCTCACAGCAACAGGCTCAGGCCCTGTCCTGCCCAGGACTGAGGAGGAGAGTGGTGATTTTCACAGGTAAGAGGCAATGGGGCGAGGAGGGAGTGGCAGAAAGATGTGTCCAGTGTCTGCAGAAGGGACCCCACTATGGGAAGTGCGATTTTCCAGTGGAGGAGTTCAGCACCCCATGGGGCCCACATGGTCCTGTCTCCCAGTCAGCACATGGTGCTACTGCCAGGTTGCCACAGGTGTGGTGTCAAGCCCCCACAGGAGCGCAGCGTGGCGGGTGCCTGAACTTACCGGCTTGGGCTTGGCCACGACTGGCACTGGCTCGGGCACCGGGATGGCGCGGGGCCTGGGGACAGTCAGCTTGAACTCCTTGGGCTCCGTGACCTTGACCTTGGTCTTCACGACAGGCTGCCCGTTGGCCAAGATCGTCTCCAACTCGGTGATCAACTCCTGGACCTTCGGCTGCCACCTTAGAGCCCAATGTGAGAGAGGTTTCCCAGCATTGCTGCCTACACAGGTGGGCAGGGCACTGGGCTTCAGGGTCCTGTGAGGGTC